TATTTTCCTTCTCATGATAACTTTTCTTAAGTTATTGTAGTTGGATTGATTTGATTTGGTTGGATTGACATCCTTGACTCTATTGAGTTTGATTTTTACTTAATTCACTCAATTAAGTAAATTATTCTATTGAAAAATCTTTAAAACTTTTTGTGTTGGAATAAATTTTCTTATTGGCAACTACTAGTACATAACATTAATGTGTTTTGCAAGTAATTGATCAATTAAAAAATAATTAAAATTATATTGATTTTATAATTGATCCATTAATAAAGCATCTTAGAATAGTAATGTAACAATATTAAATCACGATTATAACCACAATGCAAAGTATTTATATATAATTTATTATTTTTATCAAATCCTAATCACTTCAACATGTAGGTGAGATCCTATTTATTGATGTAAATTAATTTTGGTGGTACACTTAAGAAAATCTCTTCTTCAATTATTATTATTATTAATTTTTTTGCAAGGTCTTTATGCTTATGAAAAAATGTAAGATGAATTTTTCAAAGATTGTGATTGGATGAAATCAAAATGAAATAAAGTTTATGTGTTTTTTTTAACATTAGAATGAATAATATTATTCTCAAGAATTTGTTGTAAGCCACTTTCAAAAGAAATTTCTACAATTTTATTTGTTTTCATATGTAAAAAAACATCTAAGAGCAACTAATAAAAAGATTTGAAATCAAAATTTCAAAACTTATCATAATTGTTACAATCAAAATACAAATTACAACACTTAAAACTATTATAAAAACATTTAAATAATAAATAAATAAATAAATAATAAATAATGCTTTGATTCATAGGATGACCTCCTTTTACATTATATTATCTCCAAAAATACAAGTTTTCTTCATCAAACCTAGTACCTTATGGTTATAAATGTGATAGTTTTGAACAATGCCCCTATCAATGTAGTCTTTAAAAATTGGACTTTTTGCACATTCAACTTTTAAATTGCCAATTCTATTGAGAGTGTGTTGGTTGTGCATTTGTATTTGGTTAAAAATTACATACTTTGTAATTGGTTTGTAGCACTCAATGTGTTGTGTGTAACGATCTTTGTTTACACAACAGATTGGATAACCTCAGACACTCATTTACCCATTACCTGCCATTGCTAGCTCACTGGAATTGCTTTCTCCCTTCATCACACTTCCAGATTACTCTGCCCATTGCCGACATGCCATGCCAGGCAAGTCGCACTATCAAAGCTGATAGTCTTCAATCCAACAGCGATTTAACAACTCCTAGACCCGTCAAGGTGCTAAAAACAGAAGCTAGAGCAACAGAACAATGGCTTGCCAGGGTAAAAATCAGAAGCACAGCTCCACCTCGGTTGTAACGAAGATCCTTTTCAAAGAAAACGGTTCAGATTCTACAAAATTATGGTCAACCTCCCCCTCTGTACATCTTTCATGCTTCTTGTCTTAATTGCTCCTAGAGATAAGCAAAAAATGATTGTCGGTGAGTTTTCCAAATGATCTTTGCCAAACATACTGAGAGCACGTGCACGAAACTACGACGTCGTTGCATCGCAGTTATATTGACTCTTCTCAAACCCCGAGGGCCACTGAATCAAATTTTCATTCAGTGCTACGTGGTGCTTTATACATAGACACTCTATCGCTGATGAAGTTCTGTGGTGATTGTATACCAAAGTAGTGCTTATCCTGTGTAAGTTTGCTTTCTCTTGAGGAAGTTATCGAATAGCAGATAAGAAGTGACGACAGTTAAGATGATATCACTTGCAATGCCAAATAGTATAATGCTTTCAGCAATTAGTAGGCTAATAGACCGCCGGGTCGCCGGATGCAATTATATTCCCAGTTTCACGATGAGCTGTCTTGGAAAGGAGTGTCGACAGAGTTGGAGAAACTTACTAAAAAATATGGTATATGAGTGAGAACTAGTAATTGCTCTCTAGCAGAAGGCAGCGGCTGCGAGGATTATATCTTTGAGAGTAGAACCTCTCGGAATCCAGTTAATTCATGGTCAACCATCCTCTATGGGATGCAATGCAACAACTCCCTACCCTCTCACTATGACCCCCATCTCGCATGCGGAATATGGTAGAGGAATATGGTAGACCAGCGCTGTGAGGGGGGCAGGCAGGCAGGGATGACATTCAAACGCTTTCGCCGGGGCTGTGTCGGAGCTCTGTTCTGTTTTGTCTGTCGATCTGTCTGCCTGTCTACTTCGTGGCTGTGTGTGTGTGTGAATGTTCTTCATCGCTTGGGTTTCGTGATTGAGGGAATTGATTCCAGTACCAATGGTGCACGACCGTGGGCGATTTCTGGAATATCCACCCATTTCAAACTTACCCAAGCAGACTGGAAGACACGCAATCATGCCGTGCAAACTAGGCCTCACCAACTCAATGATGCTATATATTTTTAGCCTCATTCTTCCAAGCATTCGCAAAAATACTGTGAGTTATGTTTTACGAGAATTTTCAACCTCATATTCCATGCAAATTTGTAAGGTTCCAAGCAAAAGTTTAGGCACTTCCAATGTCATTCAGTGTAGGGAATAAAATGAGTCGCACATGATTTAATAGGGGCTGCAAAGGAGTCTATCCTACATGAAAGGGGGGTGCTGGCAATGGGCAGGGCACAAGAGGTACTGGGGAATGAAATGATGCTGCAGTGGGCTTAACCTAATGCAGTAAATATTAACCACACAAGGCTATACCAACCCACATTGAAATGGTTTTAATGTGGAATGGGTAGATGTTAACACACTCACTTCATAGAACCCAACTTTAGCTGTTACTAGGATTTCTTGGTTATGATTTAGTAATGACAGGAATAAGCTGGTCAAAGCCCTCCTGAGGCAAAAGGGACTGTTGGAAAGAAGACCCTATCTTACATCATCTCTGCTTGGTTAAAAATTTAAAACAATGCAAGATGGATCCTAGTGAGGCAAGAAGGCAAATTGGACAAAGGTGGCCTACAGATTATGGAACACCAGATTCCTACACATTCGCTTCAATCTCATGCTTTGCCGGACACAAGCAGCAGCACTGTAACCACAAAACTGCAGCCAAATATATTTCCAGAGAATTTGTTGTCAGGAGGTAGACTTTGTTGTTACAATGTCCAACCATGAGCAAGGTTCCAGAGTGGCCTGTGACTGGAGCAAAGTTCTTCCAATGTTTGCCCCATAACTCATGGTGTAGAGATCCATGTGTATTTAACATGTAATCTGTGTCCATTCAACTTCATGTGATATGACTCATGAGGTTAGGAAAGATAGGTTGGAACACACACTTAGGAACCATAGAATTATTGGTATCAGAAGGACCAAGATACAGTTGCTACCCTATGCTATAATATTGTTGTGCTATGTCAAGGAATTGCTTAGAAGGGAAGAAATCTAAGATGATAATGGTTAAGGATCTGCATAATCCCATTCTCATGTGATCTTGCTTATCCAGTATCTGATGCTTTGACAACACCAACCATATTATTCATATTAATACTGGTGCTAGCAGTAGTATTAGTAACAATAATAATAATAATAATAATACCTATCCTCTTCACATCCACATTCCTTCCTCTAGCTTTGCTTGCTTTTGTAGAGGATTTCCAAGCCTGTCTCTTGCACATCTGGCAGATTTACCCTCAAAGTACCCAGTGGCTTTCACTCTCGTTTCTATAATGTTGATTACTAATTATGGCACTTTGTCTCTGCAAGTCTTGTGCTTGTGACTATTTTAACTTGATCCAGTTCTAACTGTTACTTTGCAGTAGAGAGGGTGTTGGGAATGGCACCTGGCATCCAAAGTGACATCTAGTCCCATCGCACATCCCCAAAACAATGGTATTTATAAACTTTGGTAGTCATACACTGATAAAAATGATACCACTGTCCAGGTTTGGAGCTTTGCATTGTCAAATTATACTACCAGCATAGTTTAATTTACTTGGTAATTTTTAAAATGTATTCCAATTAAAATAAAAAATAAATAAATACTTTTAAAAATATGTTTTTAGTTATATGCTTGTTGTATAACTCTGCTTTGAATTTATTTGAGAATCTGTGCACTGAAGTTTATATATATATATATAGGATTTTTCCCAATCAATTTTCTTTATTTATATTATTGATAAGAAGAGAAATTTTTTTGTCCAAGTTTGTAGTAAGTTGTTCAAAAGCTAGCAAAAAAGATCCATTACTGAACATCTTGATTTAGTTCTAACAAAAATTTACAGGAATTTCTTGATTTATTCTAAAAGGACTTTGAAGTCTAGTTAAAGTTTAAAAAGAGTATGGAAGGTAATGAAATTCAATGTTTGTAACACTTCCTTCTTCATTGTGTTATTTTTCACAACTTAAATTAAACATATTACATTTCAACTTTTGCAGATATGTTAGAATGAATTAGTCTATAAAGTGTAAATAAAAATAAATGATAACTCTTTTCATTTTAAATATATTTTTTTGAAATAAAATATTAAATATAATTAAATAAATCATATACTTATGTCCAATTAAAATTTTATGTACGAAGAGTAAAACTAAGAAATTTTATTTTAAGACAATTAGATTTATATATAAGTAACCAATGGTGATAATAGCAACATGACCCTATGTTTGTATGTATGTATGTAAACACACACAACTTTGTGAAATAGTTTATTTTTCATATTAAAATAAATTGGATGATAAGTCAAATCATTGAGAACGAAACAAATTGTTAAAAATAGTGATCTTCAGTATTCATGGTAATAAAAATAGGGGGAAATCACACATATCGTACATCCACTGCTACAACAGAACTATGTTTTGAAATGAAAGAAAGTTGAACTAGCGCACCACACTTTATATGAATGATGCGGTATGAACAGGCTGGAATAGGTGCAAGTATGCTGGTGCGCGATTGTATTGACTGAAATCAAATGCTAAATAAATAAATAAAAGCGTCAATATTGCAATACGTGCAAAATGAGAAGAAGCAACACAAAACAACTGAATGACGGATGAAAATAAGCTTTGATAGGAACCTAATAGACCTAACATAAAATTCAATTGTATAATTTGGATTGTGGTCAACATAGTGCTGATACATGTGGCTGGATAAGTGCACAAACTGCTGTTGACAACTCCAGTTCTACTCCAGTAAATCTATTGCTTGACTACTCTCAGCGTGAGCTGCCGTAAATTCATTTCCAGAGACGTAGATCATACTCAATTCTAACGATACTGTTGGAAATCAAATGACATTTCTTATGGGCATTTTCACAGGCGACTACCACCCACGGAAACTGATCTAACTATTCCATTTCCACTCAAAGGTAAACCGCCACCTCAAATGCTTGACCTACACAAATTAGCCTAAAGTACAACAAACCACTGCCCTTTAATTTGATGCACGACGCCAGCAGAATCAAAAGATGTTGTCATTTATCTAAAGCGCTACCTACAGATATATGTAGTCTGGAGAAACATTACTAATTCGATGCCACGGAGCAGGGAAGCCGCGGAGGTTATCAAAGCATAGTCAGCTAATTAGCCGAGTACTTTCCAGTTCATATCAGTGCCCTCAGTTTGGACGACAAACTTAGATTGGCATCTGATCATTATCAGTCCGCTTTTGACCATTGATAGTGTGCATCTGCAGATGGTGCTCCGAATTGTCATGGTGGATGTACGCCGTTCCTCCGTGCCTTGTCACGTCCATGCCCGCAATCTCGTCTTGGGGTGTGATCCGCAGCAACCGGAACTTGTGAAGCCCATAGAACAACGGACCCATCGTCACCGTCACCCATGCGGCAATGCTGATGATCTCGATGATTTGGGCCGCAAGCAGCTTGCCACCGCCTCCCATGAACAAGCCATACGGTCTGTCGAAAGTGGTCTGGTACACCTGGTTCACGTAATTCTTCTCAGCGAACAGACCCACGAACAGCAGACCCCACGCTCCGCAACCACCATGAAGCTGGGCAGCTTCCAGAGGATCGTCAAAGTGCAACCGGGCTGCAAACGTACAAAGCACAACCCACAGCGTCGCATTGTGTCAGACCATATGTCACCGCTCAGGTCAGAGATTGTGAAAGCGCAGTAACCCCCAACATCAAACACCTTCATTGTCTAATTCCATCAAATTGACCATAAACATTCGATTGTCCATGTGCACCCACACCTACACACCTACACACACACACACACACACACACACACACACACCGGAACTGACACGCCAACCATTCAACCACACGCACGACCATCGACTCTGTTGCAGATTGAAAACTGCTCACCACGCTACAACCATTTCCTTCTCAGCTCAACCCACCCCCTACTTCATCCACCCCTACCCAACCTCTACACCGCACACAACTGCTTCCCAGCACATCCATCAACCACAACATAACAGGCTCTCCCCTAAAACCGGCACTTCCACATCCCAAGCTGGGCATACCGGCGAGCTTGTTCAACCCGATCAACACCCACGCAGACCCGAACCCGCACAGGATACTCGCCCATGGAGCCACCACGGAGCACGACGCAGTGATCGCCGCGAACCCGCCCAGCAGCCCGTTGCACACATCCAGCACGTTCCAGTGCCCGTCCAGAAACCTCTTTCCGAACAGCGTCGTCACGGCCGCGGTACATCCTGCTAACGTCGTCGTCACCGCGGTCCTGCCCACGCCAGACCAGTGGCCCTTTACCCCCTCGTATGGCTGCAATATCGTCAGGAAGCTACCGGGGTTGAACCCGTACCATCCGAACCACAACAGGAACGTTCCCAACACCACCAACGTCGCGCTGTGGCCACGGAAATTGGTGGAGTTCCCAGACTTGTCGAACCGCCCAATGCGAGGTCCCTCAATCAGGGCGCCCCAGAATCCAGCAACGCCCCCCACCATGTGCACCACACCGCTTCCCGCAAAGTCGATCGCACCGCTGCCGAACAGAAGTCCACCAGGACCGACAGTTTTGGAAGCCGACAGCCATCCATCCGCCGACCACAGCCAGTGAGACACAATCGGGTACACGAATCCCGTCAGGAACGACGAATACACCAGGTACGCCACGAACTGCGTCCGCTCCGCAATCGACCCGGATGTGATACCGGCAGCCGCAATTGCGAACGCCCACTGAAACAGAAAGAAGCTGTAATCGAAGGTGCCGTTGGGAAATCCGTTCAGGCCCCAGTTGAAGTGGCCGATGAAGCCGTTGGTCTTGCCTCCCAACCCGAATGCGAAGGCAAATCCGAACACGTAGTAGGAAATGCCACCGCAAGCAGCATCCAGGACGTTGGTGAGCATGATGTTCATGGTGTTTTTAGCTCGCACGGAACCGGCGCACAGCATGGCGAAGCCCAGCTGCATGGCAAACACCAAGTAAGCGGAGAACAGGAGATACGTATTGTCCACCGCCAGCTTAGTGGAGCCGAGGCGCCCATCGATCAAGTTGAGCTTATCGCACAGAAACGAGCTCAACCCGGTGGCGTTCGGCACCGCACCCAGGAACCCCTGGATGGTTGCCAGGTCGCCATCTTGACACCCGAAAATCGACATCGTTAAGTCTTCGCACTCTACCGCTCAAACCCTTACGCGAATTCTGTGGTGTCAAACACTACTCCTTGTCATCGAACCCTCCTCTCCCTTGTGCTCCCGGCCTTCGATATCCCACAGAGCTATTAAATACCGTCTAAAGAATACAACATCACTGGAGATCCTACTTGAAGATGGGGGACACAAAAGCAGAACAGCCCGGACAATGAATTGCCACACTGAAGCTGTTATTCGACAGTGCTCCCAGATGGGGTGGGAGACTGGGAATACAAGTTGAGTGCGGAGGTTGGCTTTGACGAGTCGGGATCTCTTAAATGTGCTAGACGCACTGCTTTCTCTCGCAGGTTTAAATTTAGTTGCGAATCATTGCACCCGTAAGAATCTAGGCTATGAATTTTACAAAACCTACGATATTCAGAACTGCCCACAGTGCATCTGCAACTCGCGAAGATTTGTAGGGCTAGAAACCGCTTCTTCTCCCAGCCTACTTTTGACTAAGGCAGGCGGTTTTTCTGGTCACGAGCACTGCAACCACCGAAAACAGAAGGCTGATTTCTCCTGATGGAGGCCTCGGGATGCAGTATCTAATTTCTGTCATCCTTTTTACAGATGCCCTGACTTGGCTATACCACCCGTGCGTCCGTGTTCGTTCCCTCCCTCCGCCTCTTCATCGACGAGGGCGTGTCCTTGTGTTCCGAGAATGGCATAAGCCGGTGATTAACGGCCAATCTGTCGTGAAAAATGGGGGATCCCAATCAGGTGATGCTTGTGCAGACAGCACAGATTGCTATTGTGGTGAGTTTCGCGCTTAGTGCGGTGTCCGCCAATAGTTGCTTTGGGTTCTATTATAATGTTTTAGTTAGGATTCTGCAAGATCGGATGGTTGCTATGTCCGATCGTTGACCCTACGTTGCGTGCGGCAGGAGCTTCGTCGCCATCTTCGTCGTCATCGTCGTTATCGTTGTCTTGTTCCTCGTCGTCATCGTCGTCCCCATTTTTCTTCTCCCTTCATATTAGTTTGCAAGTTGCACAAGAATCTGGCAATAGAAAAAAAAAAAAAAAAAAAAAAAAAAAAAATGTTCGTACGGATTCAGTTAAACTACATCGTATTGGAAATTCCATGCAATCAGGTTTCATTTCTTTTTGCAGAACAACGCATCGGGTAGATGAAAATTTAATGACTGCAATCGCAAATGAACTTCTCTTGTGTCGTGGTTAATGTTGTAATTCCTGTAATATATTTTTTTAAAGGATATATACATCGTGCTTGACCTTGAATGCAGAAGTTATTTAATATATGGCAATTATTAAATACATGTTCGTTGTGTTCAGAAACCAGAAGAATTTGAATCATTAAAACAAGTCATAGTAAATAACTAGAAAATTAAATGAAACACTATTTTATTGTATGATACAATTATTGTGCAAGCTGTGACACCGACCAAATAAGACGATACTTTTATCAACACAATTTTGTTTTACATTCTCACTTAAAACAAGCAACCCAGAATTAGGTCACAAATGATTGGCGGATGAGTCTCGTGGATGATGTATGTCCAATTTGGGAATGTTGTAGGTGTATAGGTGAAGAATATATTGTTGCATTTCTATTGTTTCTTTCTTGACATAGTTGTAAGCTACTTCCTATGTAATCCCATGACATGCAAATTAACAAAACCAAAACTCAGCATTAAAAATATATACAGAATTTTGGGGGTTTTCAAATGAAGCAACGTGTGGGCAACACTCAGCAGGAATGAAATGAATGCAAAGCTCGGCATGAGGACATATTTTATTCAGGTTTTGAGTATTATAAAACATGCATTTTTAATGTATGAAATGTATTAAAAGAATGGGTCCGTAAATAATTGGAAGGATTGGATACCAAATCAGACTCCAACTTTATGCAACCTATACTTACCATGCTTTGAGGGTCACCCTTTAGGGAGTTAATTCTCCAGTGGACCCGCATTGGATTCCTCAACACTCACATTGGTTGCCGTTCCTGAAATGGCGTCTTCCACTGGCTTTTACAGCTCCTTTGACTCCTCTTATTTTTTTCTAATTATATTAATAGTATGCGCCTCACATAACAAGAGGTTCCATCTTTTGCCTTTTTCTTCACTCTATTCTTTTGCTTATTTTGATACCCTTGATATTGAAAAATCCAAAGACTCCATGGTCATCATGGTTGGATGAAATTTGCGGAGTGTAAAAGATGACATCCAGGAGTTTTAAAATTTGATACAATTCTTATCGAACACATTAAATTAACATCGAGTTCTTTTTGTTTTGCATGTTAGTATCATGTTGAAGATGAAACATCAATGCCAAACTTGGTGGGATTAGTTACATTTCAGTGCTTCAAACATCTGAAGTCATGCCAAATAGACTTCCAGTAAAAAATCAGCAAAAGTAAATCTTTGTCTCAGTAACTTCTGTGGCATTTTGTTTCATGCAACTAAGAATCTCAACACTGCAAAAACAAATCCAAAGATGTTCTTTAGATTATATTCCAATCTACTCAAAACCATATATTAATCTTTTTATAGAAATAATTATGCGTTATTCTGCGTTATCCACTGACTTATTTTACACATTTCCTGTGTATTTGTAAAAAAAAAAAGAAAAAAGAAAAAAAAAGACTTTTTTTATCTTTACCTGTATATCACAATTATTGAACTCCGAATGAGTTTTGAAACAAGTCTGTGTTAGTTCAAAGTGTGTCCCTATCTCATGCAAGTATTTGTTGGGCCCACTACTTAAATTCAAAGCATACAATAAAGCATTGATCCAAGGATTTCATTCTTCTTCCAAAAATAAATCCTTCCTTGTTGTTGGCAAACTTTTAAAACTTTGTGAACTTTCGTTTGTGGGTTTTTTCCACACATTTTCCCCCTTGTATCGTTACTTTCGTTTCGATTTAAAACTTAAAATTAAAAAAAACTTCTTGCTAGAAATCTACAAAACCTGGTAAGAATGGAAACCAACAGGGGCATGAATCTGGAGGAACCTGGATTCTTTGCCGAAGGTCCAAAGATTCACAGCCGTACTCCAAGTCCTCCTAAAAATAGGCTTTTAGATAAATCAATTGACCCCCAGTATCCACCATTTCCTCTCCCCAAGATATGACCAATGGCTCTCAAGTACGTAAAATAAATAAATAAACAAATCAAAACAAAAGAAAGAACATATAGACAAGGTTACTAACAATAATAACGGGCATTCAAAAGACACGGGAGAAAGTCTTTCGTGCACTCAATAGTCAGCTTAACGAGCTGACGAGGAAAAAGAGGAATGTATGCAATAAAAAAAAGAAGAAAGAAGATTTATATATATATATATATATATATAATTGTTTATCTTATAATATTGGGTGTAATCTATCCGTGTAGGCGGAGGACACGAGACGAAGAAGCTCGAAGCAGGGCACAGAGCAAAAGACTGTTGCTTCCAGCACCTCTTGAAGAGCCACTTCGGAGTGCCATCCATCCAGCACCCCACGCCGCGACACATTCATCCAGAACCTCACGCCGCGGAACATTCATCCCCCATCCCCACCCCCGCTTCTTTCCTGTGTTTGTGGAGGGAGTGTTCAGTGCGGCATTTTCACGTCTGAGAATATTCATCCATCCATCCCCCGTTCGTGGGAGCCAACTTGTTCTGGGGCTTTCCTTGCACGTGTTCGTGAAGCTTCCATTTCCTTTCATCACTTGTCTGTGCAACTTGTGGTGTATCAACTAATTCCTCCACGTCATTTTTCGTTTTTCCTGTATTTATAAATTTAATTCCTGTGTCGTTATTACTAGTTTTAGAAAATCCCTCGCCCACATTCCGCAGAAAGAAAAATAGAAGATATAAAAAGAATCAATTGTTCAAACTTATTGCTTTTGGGATTTCATGGGCGTTGAGGATGTTTGTTAATATTAGAAAGTATAACACTAGATAAAGTTTTATTAACCAGGTATTGTGTGTGTGTATTTATATATATATATATATATAAATGTTTTGGGTAGAAATCTCACCGTCATGCATATCTGTTGGAAACAAAAGAAATAAAGTACTGTATTCATGCTCAATTTTGTGGGGTTTCCAAGGATAGAGCCTCCAAAAGAAAAAATTCTATATACTATTTTATTTTATTTATTATTTATTATTTATTATTATTTTTGTTTTTTTGTTATGTTGTTTTGTGATAGAATCCTAGTATTGCAAATTGCAAATACAATACCTTCTTGCTTTCTACGAGTTTCTTTTTCTGCTGCTCTTCCAAATTGCTCTTCTTGTCACTCTTCGCCCTCCAACATTTCTATTCTCGAACCTTTGTTGTTGAGTGGTTTTGCATTCCAACAATTTTGCTCCCTATTAATCTTAGTCTCCACCAATATTATTCTTTACTCCTTAATCTTTGTCCATGAAGTTGTTTAAAATTGGCTCCACATTTGTGATGACAAAAGAGGCTCAAAAAGCATTGGATTCATATTCTCAAATGACATATACTCCATATCAATATAAGAACAACAAACTAAGCAATATTTTTGCCATTTGTCCAACTGCAAAAGATAATGGCCTTAGATGTAGCTTCTACATCTTGATGAATCAGTGCAATAATGGCTTATTTTATATAATTACATTTACTCCACGTAATAAGAATTGCTCCACCTTCCTATAATCTTTCATCATCTAAGGACCTATTCTTGTAGAATTTGCTATACTTTTAGTGCATGACGTCTAAGCTTTGTAACCGCATGGCATTTCTAACTATACAATGATGCAAATGAGAGTAAAAATAACATATATGGTACCTTAGAGAAGCCAAAAAGTCCATAAAGTGTATATGTATTTGAGAGGAATCTTGTGCAATACTTAGAATTTCAATCACACAAAAATTCTATGCTTTGGACTACTCACACTCAACATGGTAGAAATAACAAATGTTAGGATTCTTGATATATGCCACACCAAGCCATTTGATGCATTTATCCAACTTGTTTATAAGTTAGGAACCTTGTTCTTTGAACGTTGCAATAAGTATGCAAAGGTCACATGTGATCTACTATGCCATACAATCAATGAATTGTGGAGGATGGTCATAGAAGGCTAAATATGTTAGGTGATTCAATTTAACATTTACATCTTAAAAATCTAAAGATTTACTATTGGAATCTTTTGTGTTGTTGACCTTATGCAACAAACTTATTTTTGTATAAAAATTCTAAAAATACCTAATTCCTTGCATCCATGCATGTATTAAAGACATCCATATTTACTTCCATAATTACCTAAATAATATGAGTAGATATAAACAAATTAAAGTAAATAAATTTGATAATAT